TCACCTGTGGCTCCTAGAAGCGCCTTGATTTTGGAGCAGAAGGAGTCAGCAAGCCCTTCTGCTCCATGGCACAAATGATTGCGGGAGGAGCAGACAGGGCAGCAGCAGGTTGGAAAAGCAATGTTTTTGGTAAGGGAGCACAGGGGATGTTCTTAATGAGGTGTGCAAAAGGAGCTTGCCACTCCACCATCAAATGGGACTCTGTGTCAGCGATACCCAGTTCTGAAGTAAGCAGCAGTGATGTAGGTCTTTCTGCTCAAGAGGAAGCTCTTAGCAATAATTGAGTTCAGGGAATCCTTTGAGGCCAAGAAAGAAAATGATATATGAACTGTGACCTTGATTATTACGAGGCTGTTTCTTTAGACGAGCAGGGCCTACTGTTCTATATATCTATCCTGGCGTTGAAAGTTCTTATTTGGAAAGTTCTTATTCATTCATTCATTTTATTTAGAGCACTTGTAGAGGATTCAACCTCAATCTGTTAGCCGCCATCCTTCTTGACCCTACTTAGAACCAAAATAGATGTGACATTAATTACATGAACCTGACATGGACCCTTACATGAATTCATACATAATCACGGGACTGAATTTGCATGTGCTCCTGTTTGCTCTTCTTTGCCTGTTTTCGTACTGTTTGACTGCGGAATTATGGATATCCAGATTTTACTCCTCTGTGATATTTGAGACTGCATTGCCATCTGTCTTGACCAGGCCTGAAAGCAAAGTGAGCAGCGGTCTTGGTGCCAGACTTCAGGAGGCCAGAAGCTCGGCTCCCATTCAAAAGTGGCGCCACAGCGCACTGCTGAAAAGCACCTGGGGCCCTGGCACAGAGGGAAAGGGATTGCATTCAGTTCAGATGAAGCATGGCCCTGATAAGATCCAATTCAGTGGGTAAGATCGGATTTCCCCAAGGTATAGCTGTGGTACATGATACAATCAAAATATGGGGCAAGCAAAAATGTGGATGAACTCTAGGTCTGCGTCTTCCTCAGAACCTCTTTTACACTCCTCACCTTTAGCACTTTGCTGGCGTTAGGCATATACAGTGGTACCTTTGATTAAGAACTTAATTTGTTCCGGAGTTCCGTTCTTAACCTGAAACTGTTCTTAACCTGAAGCACCACTTTTGTTAATGGGGCCTCCTGCTGCTGCCGCGCCCGCTGCTGCACGATTTCTGTTCTCATCCTGAAGCAAAGTTCTCAACCCGAGGCACTATTTCTGGGTTAGCGGAGTCTGTAACCTGAAGTGTCTGTAACCTGAAGCGTCTGTAACCCGAGGTACCACTATACTGAGATGATGCTATCCTAGCATTGGCATATACCCCAAATCTGTCAATGCAGAGCGCTTAAACTGGCTCTTAAGCCTCCCCAGTCAGTGGGGCACATGGCTGTGCCTTACATGTTGCAGCTTTTATTTCAACCACGACTGATGGCTCTTTAACACATTGATTAAAAAGTACTAAGGTGTGCATCCTTCTTGTTCCTATGACACTTTGGCCACAGAGGGAAATTTACCGTAGCAAAATATGAGAAGGGGAGAGGGGAAATACTATGGGTATTAATCATTTGTGGAATATTAAAACAAGGCATTGCACAGCAGCTGATAATATTTTATTAATATTAATAAAGGAAGTAGTGAATTTAATCATTAGGTTAAGCCTGTAAATTCTTTATAAATCCAATATATATAAGGGGAAAATTCAGAATACCTATTCTTGTCTATGTGATGGAAAGGAAGGATGTGCATTACTGAAGAAAAAATTGACAGAATAACACAGGCTTTTTATTATTCTGTTCCCATTAACCCATTCTTAAATGTCTAGAAATTAGTTGGATTGTTTTCCTGTTAAGTGATTATTATTATTATTATTATTTAACCTAAAAATTATGATCGTAGTGAACTACATTTGAATGACACTTTGACAACTAGACTTATAAATGTAAAAAGTTCAGTTCCTGCAATGACAGAAAACAGAATTTAAAGATTGCAAGGATATTTGTCTATAAATAAAAATGTGCATATTTTCACCTTTAAACTAAGAGAGGATTTCAGAGAAAATGGAGACAGAAGCCACCTGCAGACATTAGTTAGGAATTCTGTGCTTAATGGTGTGAGTTAGGTGAGTTCATATGTCTCCTGGCAACCATTCTTCTGATTGCTTGAATTGCCTGGGAGATACAATATTGTTGGCAACCATCTGTCTTGAGAGACAATGAAGGAATGTGCCTTTGGGGGTGAAATCAAACTACTGGAAGGCAGCAGTGCCTGAAGTGGCTGTAGAGACTGATATGGGAGAGACATGTTTTGCTGCTGCTGGGGCAGATGAAAGCGTCCGGTTGTGCTGATGTAGATGCACCATGGCGTTATATTTTTTTTTGGGGGGGCTATCCCTCAAAAGGGATGCAGGTGGTGCTGTGGTCTAAACCACAGAGCCTAGGTCAGTGGTTCGAATTCCCATGATGGGGTGAGCTTCCGTTGTTCGGTCCCTGCTTCTGCCAACCTAGCAGTTCGAAAGCACGTCAAAGTGCAAGTAGATAAATAGGTACCGCTCCAGGGGGAAGGTAAACGGTGTTTCCGTGTGCTGCTGCTGCTCTGGTTCACCAGAAGCGGCTTAGTCATGCTGGCCACATGATCCGGAAGCTGTCTGCGGACAAACGCCTGCTCCCTCAGCCAATAAAGCGAGATGAGCGCACAACCCCAGAGTTGTCCACGACTGTACCTTACGGTCAGGGGTACCTTTACCTTTATATCCCTGAAAACTGGGCTTAAATCGAATAAATTATTGGGAGAGCACTAACAATTTGATTTATGGATGTTTATTTTTTGTATTCTTCTGTGGACAGGATAATTTTTTATTATGATGGGTGATTCCCCCCCCCCCACATTGTTTGTTTTAATGGATCAATATTGCATACTGTATTTTGTATATCAAGGCTCCTGTAAATTGTTTTGTCAGGGAGAAGCAATAAATGAATCAAATAATGAATAGAACTGAAATTATCTGGCCTTTAAAGCTGATGGCTTTTCGTGGATGTTACTTCTGCATTTGAATGAAGACAGATTTCTTCATTTTGTCTCAGTTGCTAATGAGGACCAACTGAATCCCATTTGTTTCAGTGGCATTTGTACAGGAAACCACCAGGTGGATTGTGTGATTTGGACCTCTCCTCCTCCTCCTCCTCCTCCTCCTCCTCCTCCTCCTCCTCTTCTAGACAGTCTCCAGATAAGCAAGCATCACCCAATAACCAACAGCGACTCTATAGGCCTTGCTTTCACTAGAGGTTCAGATATGTAGGAAGAAAGCTCTGGTAGTGCTCTATAGAAGGAAAATATGGGTTGTATCTAATGTAAGTCATACTCAGAGTAGACCCATTGAAATTAATGGGCATGACTAACTTAATTGGATGCCACCTTATAATGATCTGGTCTTCTTCCTTCTCTGTCATAAAAAAGGTGATTGTGCAACTGAGGAAAAATCCTCTGTTTCTGGCAATCATTACATAGTTGGAAAATTAACCCAATCACAAGTCTCCTAAGGAAGTGTGTATTAAGGACAAAAAAAAATTTGATACGAACTTTAATCGAGTGGGATAATTATTTTCCAGAAATCATGTGGTCTAACTCAGAGGCCTTGGTTGAAGGCGACTGCTGGCTGCCATGAGGTTGCAGAGCAGGGCTGGGGAACCTGCGGCTATGCAGATGTTGGACTACAATTTCGATCATCTTTGACCATTGGCCATGCTGGCTGGGGGCTGATGGGATTTGTAGTCCAACAGTGCCTGGAGGTCCACTGGTTAGCCTTCCCCCCTGCTTTAGAGAAGCAGATGGAAAACTTGTTGGGAGAGAAATCCTATTTTGCAGTTCAGTTTCCCAATACTGAGCAGCAGATTCACATGGTTGGGTCTACATTTACTGGTCCATTGATCTGGAAGTGGTCAGAAGGGTGCTGCAACACTCATCTGGCCAAAGGTGGTCAAGAAAAGATGCTGTCTACATCTCTCCTTCATTTCCTTAGGGACAGGTGCACTTTGACCAAGACCACCACATGGACACACAGACAGTGTGGACTTTGCTTTTCCAGTGCTTTACCTTGGAAATGAAAGGCTGGAAATTTGATTGCTCCATTAGATTTGTTTCTAGGAATCCAAAGCTGGAATAGGAAAGGTGAATGAATGACTAAGCCATTGGTCAGATATTTGGCTCGGCACAAATCTATCGTTTGAATTGCCTGGGTTGATGTGTCTCTGCAGCCGGGCCTTAAAAATGTATAAAGGTGAGGGTTTCATCATACCCTCCAACATTTCTCTGATGAAAATAGGGACATTCCATTTCATAATGATAATTTTACTATTTATACCCCACACATCTTACTGGGTTGTCCCAACCACTCTGGGCAGCTTCCAACATATATAAAAACATAATAAAACATTAAACATTAAAACACTATACAGGATTGCCTTCAGATGGCTTGGGGGGTCGAATAGCACCACACTCTCCAGCATTTTTCCAGTGAAAAAAGGGACACCCTAAAGGAAAGCAGGGCATTCCAGGATCAAATCAGAAACCAGGACTGCTTCTCTAAATCAGGGACATCCCTGGAAAATAGGGACACTTGGAGGGTCTGTTTCATGGAGGTTGCTTCTGCATTTGAATGCAGAAATAATTTCAGTTGACTTTGTTGCAGTATACATGGCTTGATTTGAAACTGATTTCTTGAATTAGGGTTTTTCCCCCCTTTTCTTTTTCCCAAAGCATCATGTGTCTTCATGGACAGCTTCCTTCTCTGTGACCTTTTCAGATTGCTCACATCAGAATGAGGGCATCTTCCTGGTAATGCTGTCTGAGCACGGTGTTTTTGATGGCGTGAATGAACATGGAGAGGCAGTTTCAGTGGCTGCCCTACAATGGTGGTACTCTCTTGTTATTTATATGCAGACCTCTCACTAGAAACTGTTTATAACATTGTCTCTTACTTCTTATCATTTGATTTCTTCACAGGAAGGAAAATGCCTCTACGTAATTCTGTTGATGGCCATATACTGGTGCACCGAAGCTCTGCCCTTGTCTGTGACCGCTCTACTACCCATAATTCTCTTCCCCTTCCTCAGTGTCCTCCCAGCCAGCAAAGTTTGCCCGCAGTATTTTTTAGAAACCAACTTCCTCTTCTTGAGTGGCTTGATCATGGCGGCTGCCATTGAAGAGTGGAATCTGCATCGTAGGATTGCACTGAGAATCCTTATGTTGGTGGGAGTCCAGCCAGCCAGGTAACCAATGAAATAAATGAGCTTGTGCTCAACTTTGGGGCCATCCAGATGCGCTTTTCATTGTCCATTCATATTCATTTGTCCTCATGGTGCTGTTGGAGTGGTCGCATGGCACCCCACAAAATACTGTCTGCGTCTGCAAAGGTGTTGGGGCAGTCACACTACTTTATTTCCATTCAGTGCACATCCTGTAACTTCCTGCTGAAACTGCATATTTTTTATACCACAAATTCTGGTTTATTTTTATTTACTTCTGCTGCATTATAGCTTCTCTGAACAGCAATAACGTGGTAGCACTGGGGAAACACCATAGAACAAATTAAAGCAGAATAAATCCACCATGAATCACTAGGTTTGGGCCTGCCCAAATTGGTGTTTTATTGTGGGTGTCCTGCAGCATGTTCTTGACACAATAATCAAGGCTTTTCCTGAAATGGAGTTTTAATGAGAAAGTTAGCTGGAGTGACAATTTAATGGTTAGCAATCGAAGGCTGTCCTGAAGAACTGCTGCTGCCAAGTTGCTGCGTGTTGGATTGCTTCTGCCCTTGGGGAATGCGGAAGAGACTGGCATTCCAATGGAAACTGAAAGGCCTTTTGCACAGGTTTGAGAGTTATACCTTTCCTTCCTTGTGCTGTGTCCAAGCATAGGGGAAGGAACTGTTAGAATTCCTGTTCCATGATTGCAGTCATGGGATTTTTGTCTTTCACATGACGGTATATGTTTTGTTTGTTTTAAAAATATTTTTACTGGAATTTCAACAAAACATTTTATCAGAAAACATATCATCCTTAATTCCCCCTATTTCCCCCTCCCCCTCCATATAAAGTAACCCACCCACCCCTCCCCTCCCGACTTTCCTCAGCTCCTCTCTCTGGTTTATCAATAAATGTTATTCTCTGCATGTTACAAAATTGTATAGATCCTTAATTTATCTGACTAGCTTTTGTCAATAAAAAGTTTGTGATTGTTTATTCAAAACCTGCCAAGGAGTCCAGTTCACTCAGATATGTTTTGACTCCACAGAGTGGGAAGTGATGGAGACAGAATATTTGTGTTACTGTGTTCCGTGAAGTGGGACTATTGTCCTTTGTTCCATTTCTCTTTGCTGTCTGATGCTAGAGAGAGAGGGAACCATGTTGCAGTGTTCCATGTGTGTTTATATGTAAATAAAGTAGATTAGCCAAAATGCTGAGTTGCTGAGGTCTGTCACGCAAGGTGCGCAAATTCTGCAGATCCCTAAGTGTGCTGGTGTCGGTTGGCATCGGTCGCTATGATGTTCGGACTGAAGAAAGCTTTTGAAGCTCCCGAACGATCGACCAGGAAGGAGAGAACATGCCAGTCGGGCATGTGGCTCTGCCAGGATCCTACCTGAGTGTAGGCTGAACTCCTGACAGGAACATGGATTTTAGCATTAGGGTAAATTCCAAATGAAGTGACTTCCCTTGGCCTCCACGAGGTTTTTCTAGGTGGGGTCCACCGGACAGGAGTAGGTCAGTTGGGTAGAGCCAACCTCCAAGCAATGGCATCACAGTCACTTACTGGGATGGTGTAAGGGTGGAGCAAAGAGGCTGTAAGGTTAGGAAGTCACAGGTGGACCTACACCATCCCGACCTCTCTGGTGCCCTGCCCCACTCTCACACTCTTCAGGTAAGCAGGAGCAACATTGCTGCCAGGAGGTTGGCTCCACGATCCCATCCTGGAGACCAGCTCTGCTGCAGGTCGTTGTGGGAGTGCAGTCAAAAGGCACCCAAAGCTGATCTCTTCTGGAATCACCCAAAGTTCAGGGATTTGGAGGTTTCAAGAATGGACAGGTGCTCTAAAAGATGGTCAGACTGAATGTCTCCCTTCAGGATCTCATATGGGGAGAGGCTCAGTTGAAGAGCTTACTGAGTTCAGAGCTCCAAAACCACTTATCAAAAGATCAGGGTACTCAAAGAACGATGATTTCCATGTTTATGAAAGAAAAGCAGCCGTCTATTTTCTGCTTAACAGAAAAGGGGGTCTGCTGGACTTTAGGTGGGGTTTGAAAGGGCTCCTCATAGTTATTCGATAAATGATACTGTGGTACGTTGATTAATTTTGGAATTTGCTTGTTTGCTTAGTAGCTTACTAGCTGACCTCCCAGACAAAATGTAGCCTTTCGAGCCATGGGAGGAAACAAAATGGCAGCCAAGTAGTGCTCTCCATCAGCAGGCAACTTGCTATCAACTATTAAAACTGATCTGCCATGGTTAAGGTTGCCATATTTCAAACAGTGAAAATCCGGAGAGAAAAGTTGTTGAGTTTTTCCTTGGGGAGGGGGGGAGGGCAAAGTTGTAGGGCTTTTCTTTTTTTAGCAAATTCCAAAAAATAAATGAAGTTTTTGAGCTATTTTTCAGGAAAGTCGACTGCAGTATTCCGGATATGTCTGGGAAATTCCAGACATATGGCAACCCTAGCCTTGCAAGGTTGGACTGAAGATGTACAGACACACCTTGGAAGTCGAATGGAATCCGTTCCGGAAGTCCGTTCGACTTCCAATTCGCCGAAGAGCGTCCTGCAGCCAATTAGAAGCCACAGAAGCCAGATGTTCAGCTTCCGAAAATCACTCGAAAACCAGAAACATTCGAGTTTACAGGCATTCGGCTTCTGAGGTTCCACTGTATATATAAACTCTTTAGCACTCTCTAAATGCACTATGACCATATGCAGGAGGAGGAGGGTTACTTAGACTGGCCTGTGGGGAAATAAATACACCAAAGCTAATCCAGATAGCTTAAGCAATCTGGATAGCTCAAGCGACCTGTGCCTCTTGCACCAGCCTGCTTTGTTTCTATGGTGTTAGATCTGTCCCTCTCCTGCTCCGTGGAATTTGCTGATGAATTTGTTCTGGTGGATCCAGATATTTTTCATGATGGCAGTGCTTCTGTCAAAGGCCTGGGTTAGTGAAAGGCATAGCCTTAAAGGTTGGAGTATGGGCCGGGCAAGCATGCTTTAAAGAAAAAAATCATTCCAAAAGTTCCAAACTTTTTAAACTGCTGAATAGAGAGGAAACATAACTATTTCAGCACTGTGTAATCAGATTAACATTTATCCCAGTTGTACAGGATTGGACTTCTTACAGAATATAACTGAGACAGCTTTGTTCTGATTAATCGTATGAGGCCCCCCCCCTCTCTCTCCAGGCTTATTTTAGGAATGATGCTAACAACTTCCTTCCTGTCCATGTGGCTGAGTAACACAGCCTCCACCGCTATGATGCTACCCATTGCAATGGCTGTTCTGAAGAGCCTCTTTGGAGACAAGGAAACATATCAGGACCTCAAGAGGCAAAATGAGGAAAGCCAAGGTTGGTCTGGTCGGCTCATTTGGGTGTTGCTAATAAAACATGGCATTTTTGACAAATGTAAAGTCATCTGTTACTGAGGTGTGTTCCAACGGCATCCATAGGACATTCCACTTGTAAATGCACACGTTGCTGGGGGGAAAATATGCATTCCCCTATTGCTCAGAACGGCAACTTTGAGTTTGCTGGAGAAATAAGGTTTGCCATCTGCTTCCCTGTACACCGATAAAGGATATATTTTGTGATAGTCTATGCCCTGTAGATGGTATTTGCATAAATGTCACATGCTCCTATTGGATGGTGCTAGTGACATCACTCTTTTACATCACACCAATAACTCCACCTTGGTTGCGCCATTTTATAAACTTCCTTTATAAATCTATAGCGGTCTAGTGCCTCCGCTTCCATATTGTGGCAGGGCAGGGCAGTTAACATGCCATGGCTAGTAAGAGCACATCCGTTTCTGAAAGAGTGCTGGTATGGATCCTTTCTCCTATTTTCCAATGTGTCTATCTGTCAGGGAATGGCCGGAAGCAGAGGATTGAGGAATGCATTCTCAGGCAGATCAGTTTCTCTTAGAAGAGGAGCTGGAGGGGGAAGATTCGCCTCCCTTGTTTCCAGCGGTCTCAGAAGCAGAGAGAGAAACAGACACGGAACAGATTAGACAGGAGTTACCTAGCTACGAGATAATGACAAGAGAAACAGAAGGGAGGGGACAGAAGAAGAAGAAGAAGAGTTTGGATTTGATATCCCGCCTTTCACTCCCTTTAAGGAGTCTCAAAGCGGCTAACATTCTCCTTTCCCTTCCTCCCCCACAACAATCACTCTGTGAGGTGAGTGGGGCTGAGAGACTTCAGAGAAGTGTGACTGGCCCAAGGTCACCCAGCAGCTGCATGTGGAGGAGCGGAGACGCGAACCCAGTTCCCCAGATTACGTGACTACTGCTCTTAACCACTACACCACACTGGCTCCCCAGATAGACAGATAGCAGAGACGCCATTAGAGAGTGTGGGGGACTCTCCCTCCCCATGAACTAGGAGATCCAAATGTATTAGAGAACAAAGGATACAGAGAGGAGGAGGGACTTTCCATTGGTGCCTAGGATGTTGTACAAGACAGAAGGGGGAAGAATTAGAGTAGCCAACTGCTCTCCTTGTGGAGGGACGTGGATTTTTGCTTGCAACCTGATGCCTGAATAAAAAGGACCATAAAAGATAAACTGCTCGTTAATTCTAATCTGTGAAGTTACTGAAGGGGGAGGCAGACTCCCTACGCATGACACTGTCCCTCCTTTCCTTTCCAGGCCCATCTCTGTCCACAATTTCCTTTACTGAGGCATGCATTAACCCATGCCCTCTCCCACAATAGACATGAAGGCAGGTGGACTTATCTCTTATCTTAGCACTGTAGCGCTTGGATCAGAGATAGGAGATCCCTCTAAGTGTTCCACACCTGACGTCATATGGCATCAGGTGATAGGAAGGAGTGTGCAGTTTACCCAAAACATGCACTGTTACCATAAAGCACCAATGCTGCAGCCAGCAAAGGCTCTAGCAGCTCAGTCAGCTGCTTGTGGCTGGAAAGCCAGACAGGATGTTTGTGACTGTTGCCATGGGAACAAAGGGGCAGTCCATTCTGTACTGAGCACCGGATGTTAGCTCAGTGTGTGTGTCATATGACCCGTACTGGAAGTACATGGGTGGAGTTTCTTCTTACTGCTGTTGAGTGCAGACATGTTTCTCTGTACTGATATAAGAGACAGAAATAAAGGATGTAAATAGTTTTCTGTCTGCTTCTTTCCCCTCCCTGGGGAGCACCAAAGGGGAGAGAGGAAGAACGGTGTGTTCCTCTCACACATCTGAGAAGAATCGCCGGGACCTCGCCTGCTTATCAGCAGAGTGGAGACGCGGGGAGGTCGACAGGAATATCTGCCGGTGCCTACGCTGTGGCACATTCCTCTGACCCAGGCAGAATTCCAACATGCACATGGGCCAAATTAGGCCTGCATGACAAGTTCTCCATCATACCAACTTGACCACCACCTAAATGTGAATGGTTTCAGTCTGAAGGGGGAAAGGAGGCATGCTATGTGTGTGCATCTGAATTCTTTCTTTTCCTTTTAATCCCTTCCCTTTTTTCATGGTTGTCATGGAACTGAGACACATTTGCATTGCTTCATTAAGAAATGTCAGTGTTGCTGAATCACTGAAGTGACAATGCAGAAGTCACTGAGCAATATTAAAACCTGATACAACAGAGCAAACGGGTTCACAGACTTTGACCGCTGGGTGCGTTCCTTGTAATGTTCTATCCGTCTTAATGTGGGGAAATGGGTAAGAGGAGGGCAGCATTTCCAAATGGAAATTTTTCCATTCGGAACAGCAAGCACCCCAGTGCTTAATGATCCCCATCCTCAGCTTCTGCTGAAAACACAATAATATAATAAAGTTTTAAAGGAGGCAAGACCAGACATTTCATCAAGCAAGCGAAACATTTTATCAGTAAATAAAACTAGCTGATTTTTCTGGAATCAAGAGAAAAAACAAACTCCAAAGTAATCTTTTAGTTAATTAGGAATCGTGAAAAATCCAAATACAGCACTTTGCTGAAAGCGGCTCTGATTTTATGATGCTGGTTTGCTTATTTTGTTTTAAATGTTGATTGTTGACTTTATTGTTTGCCACCCTGCGACTTTTGAGGGAACAGTGAACAACAAATACTTCAAATAAATAGACTTCCTGGGATTTCCAATCTCATCACTTTTTAGGGAGTTATTCCTTTGTAGCAGACATGCACACTTTATATAACTTGTAAAAAATGCAGTTAGATGGATGTGTTGCGCCATTAGAAAGAAATCCAAAGTGTCACAAAGCAATGACATTTACAGAATGGTAGACATTAACTGGATAGCTATAGATGTATATAATGTTTTGGTACATTGCTCAGGTACTGCTTTCTCAGTTTGATAAGGGAACAGGGTTAGTCAGGGAGTTGGACGCACCAGCAATTCCTTTCAGCAGCTTATTCTTCTACTCTGAGCCACAACATAGAAATATTTGGGCTGATTTATCACTCTGCTGCCTTTGGCTATGAAACCTTTCTGTAGGCTTAACTTGTGTTTATGTTAAGACAGCTTTAAGCTGGTAGATCTTTCCGTGCTTCCCGGAAGTGCAGAAATATAAAGCACACTAAACTCTACCCTTCACTGGACCAACTAATTGTTTAATTAATTGTGACATCTTGGAAACTCCAGCTGATCAGTGCAGAATGAGAGACTCAAGAGTGACTCACACGTGTACGAAGCTACGGCACCAAATGGGTGATTTGGATGCATAAATTAGCCTTTTCGAAGGAGGTGTCAGCAAGATGCCTTGAGATTGTACTTTTACCAACCCTGCCAATTGGAAGCAAGTCCTACTGCTGCATATTCTGGCTGTTGGCAGACATACCCGTTCCCCACTTTTTATTCTGCTGTTGTAACTCAACTATGGTGGGATATTTAACTGTTACGATTTAGGAATAGTAGCACCACCTTCTGTCATTATGACTCTGGAAATGTTTCTCTGTATTTTTAAAAGCTCTTTGGGTATTATTCTTTTTCAGCCTCTGTACATCAGAACAAACTCCACACAGTGCCAACTGAGATGCAGCTTCTAGCAAATGTTGATGAGTAAGTTTACGCAAAGCTTTGCATTGGAGAGGAGGACGGTGATCACCAAAGTATTCTTCCTCTGTTTCATGAGTATGAACTAAGGCTGTTTACCTGGGAGTAAAGCCCTACTTAACTTCTTCCTGCTTATGTCACTTGCTGCATTCCACCCGTGCTCCAAGGAAGCTATAGCGTTGCTTTAGCATTGCACTAAATTGTAACTATATTGAGTTTATGTCAAGGGACTAAGTTCAATATTGGCTGCACTCAGACCTACCATAATTGGAGGCCTTGAAATCTGACTTGCCAGTAAGAACTGCTAGGCCAGGGACAGAGCCTTTTCAACAATTGCTGCAAGTCTTTGGAAGTACACTTTGCCTAGTCTCTGAGAGATTTTTGAAGGCATTTTTGCTCCAGTCCACATTTGGTTAATGTGGAGAGAGAGAGAGAATGAGCCACTACTGGCTTTACATTAATGGCTGATATTGTAAATCGTTATATTTATGGATTGTGGTTTTGATGTTTCTATGTGTTTCAAAACTTCTTTTTTTGCAAACCACCTTCAGAAGGTTGTGTGCCCTGAAAGGTGGGTTTGGATATTATTTTAGTAAGGAATAGCACAATCACATGGTGTCTACTTGAAAGTAAGACCCACTAAAGTCAGGGGCACTTATTCTAAGGTTACCAGACGTCCCTGTTTCCCGGGAACAGTCCCCGGATTTACAAATCAGCCCCATACAAAATCCATTGAAGTTGAAAAGTGTCCACGGATTCATTGAAAAAAATCTGGTAACCTTAATTTATTCACTCGTAACTGGTCTTAGGATTGCAGCTTGATTAATAAATAAAACTATGGTTTAGTACTGCATGAATGGGTTTTAAACTTGTGCCTGCCCCCTCCCATCTCCCATCTTCTGGCGTGGCTGTGAGGAGGAAAATGAACACAATTGTTTTCAACTAGCTGTTTTAACTATGGCTTGTCTGAACAAGTAAAGATCATGCAGTAGATTATAGTCCTGGCTTGTTTGGATATAGTATAACTCAAATAACCCCAGTTCCTGGTTAAGACGTAACTCAAACTTTGGTTAGTTGAAAACAGAAGCAAGTGTTTTTGATGTTGTTGCCATGCCGGAAGTGAGGGGAAGTGGGGAGCAGACATGTCAATGTAACACTAGACTATTATTTAGAGTCATGTCCAAATGAGGCCATTGTCTACTGTGGCAATGATTCTCCTAGCTCTCAAGGTGAGGCCTTTACTAGCCATGCTGCTTTTAAACGTAAATGATCCTGGAAACTCAGCAAACTAAGCATGTGGTCTGCCTCCAAGTTTTGGCCCGTCCCCAAGTCCATCCTACTTTAGGATGCCCAGATTACCTTTCACAGATGGATCCAAGAGAGAATCTGGGTAGATGCAGCTCATTCTGCAGAGGAGAGAGAAACTACCTGCTGTAGATCCTGTTCCAAATTATTTGGCAAATGGGGGCGGGAATCAATAAGATACAGAAGCAAAAACAAACAAATGAGCCCTAAGTTATATGAGAAATGACAAATGTCAAGAGTTGCCTTTTGTAATGTTTTAAAGAAAAGACTTGACGGAGGAGAAGGAAGTCACAATTGAAGTTTCCTCAGACATACAGAAGGAGGAAGAGCACAAGAAGAATGTATGGAAAGGCTTCCTCATTTCGATCCCTTATGCAGCCAGTATTGGTGGAACAGCGACGCTGACAGGAACTGCCCCAAATCTCATTCTTTCAGGACAACTCAAAAGGTATGGAGGGAAGGGGCTTGTGAGGAACTGAACACGCTGGTGTTGACAATGGATGTACATGGGGATTTCCCAAGGCTATGGAGTCAAGAACTGCACATGACTCTGAACTAGTAAAAATGTGACTCCTAGGCAAGGACAAAGAAGGAGGAGATCTTTGTGACTGTAGTTGTCCCTTTCATACAACACGGACAGATTATCTTCTGCACCCCCTTTGGGAGTCCGTGAGCTGCAGAAAGTGACAGTGGCAGCCTTGTGATGTGGTCTTGAATCACATCCGAGATGTTTGTATGACACGCTGGCCTTGGTTGCATATTTCAGATTCTTTCTTCAGTTTATCCAAATGGGTTTCTCCACCTTACATTAATCAGGTTTTCTCCTTCTCAAAGCTTTTTTCCAGGGTGTGACGTTGTGAATTTTGGCTCTTGGTTTGTGTTTGCCTTTCCCTTAATGCTGATGTTCCTTCTTTTCGGATGGCTCTGGATCTCATTCCTTTATGGATGCATTAGCTTGAGGTACTTTCATGTCTGATTTATTTGTATGGTTTAACATTGATTGAAATTGTGGTCAAGGTAACCAGTTTAGCTGGGTCCTTATTGGAAATCTGATGGTTTTATGAGGGACCTATCCTTCTTTTGACTTGGGAACACTCCTGTCTTTCAGGTGTACATGTACTCTCTTGTTGCACAAGAAAAACTCTCTGTTCCTGTTTTTGAAAATGCAAATAAAATTTTTAAAAGGAACAGGAATAAAGAAAAACTAGATGACACAGTGCACTAATGGGGTCATTTCATCAGGGCAAGCATTTTGGCTTGGCAAAATGGGATGTGTCTTTTACAATATCTCATTGACAGGTCCTTCTTTTTTGCTTTTAAAGTTGGGTGAGGCTCTACATGTTACATCTTAATATTTCTATTTTTGCACTTGAAAAATACAATTTGTGACTTTTTTGCTTGGCCACAAAACTCCAGTTTGAAGATACGCTTTTGAAGACACTGTGTTCAGAAACAAAGGAATTATTTTTAAGGAAAAAATATCCAAGCAGCTCATACTATAAAAACACACTTCTAAAGATAGCTGAATAATGTGGAAACTTCATCACATGCACTAAGGCAGAGCTGATAATAAAATTACTTTCATTTTAATATACATGACTTAAGATAGCTAATTTATAAAGTTTAAATTTATTAAGCAAAGCAACCGTAGATAATAAAGATCATACAGTTCATAAAAAGAGGGGGAATGTCATAATACCAACAGTCTATGGGTAAGGCAAAGAGTTTCTCTTTATATCATTTCAATTAGAATTCCAACAATAGTTAAATAATTCTAATCTCTCCTCAAATAAGTTATTGCATGCATGTTTAACTCATTTCCTTACTCAGAGCTGTCAGACCAGCCTATTTTATGAAGCATTTTTACAGCAATGGTCCTTTCCTATTTTCCCAGTACAGTGGTACCTCGGGTTACATACGCTTCAGGTTACAGACTCTGCTAACCCAGAAATAGTGCTTCAGGTTAAGAACTTTGCTTCAGGATGAGAACAGAAATCATGCTCTGGCGGTGTGGCAGCATCAGGAGGCCCCATTAGCTAAAGTGGTGCTTCCGGTTAAGAACAGTTTCAGGTTAAGTACGGACCTCCGGAACGAATTAAGTACTTAACCCGAGGTACCACTGTAGTTGGCATAAGCACTTCATCAAGGAAAACAGATAGAGGTGTATCAAATGAATTCTGGTGTGGAGAAAGCCGAAAGGCCTCCCTCTTAGTACTAGAACTTGGGCATCCAATCATACTGAATGTTGGAAGATGCAAGATGGATGAATGAAAGTACTTCTCCACACAGTACCATATTGCTGAACTATAGAATTTGCTCCCACAGGAGGTAGAGATGGCTACCAGCTTGGTTGGTTTTAAAAGAGGATTAGACAAATTCATGGAAGATAAGGCTGTCCTCCACCTACACTGTCAGAGGTTGCATGCCTCTGAATACCACTTGCTGAGAATCATGGATGAGGAGAGCATTGTTGCCCTCAGGTCCTGCTGGCAGGCCTCCCATGGGTTGTCCACTGTGAGAAGGGAATGCTGGACTAGATGGACCAATAGCTTCAGTGCTGGGTGGTCTAGACAGCTCTCCCACACAGGGTGCTGAGCCGAGGGGGTGCAAAATTGAGACGATCCATAATTGAGAAGATCCATTTGGGGGTGCCAAATTTCAGCTCCATACATGGCGCCATATTACGAAAGACTACCCAAGTCTGGCCCTGAGTAGCTTGATGCAGTAGGACTCTTCTTATGTTCTTATGGGATATTTTGGTGGTCTTCATGAGCACCAGACCTTTGAGGCCCACCCTTTCCCCTTGTGAATTCACATCGGATGCATTCTCTCACAAGATCACTGCAGAGGTGTCCTGACCACTGAGTTGGTGATCTCATTGCCCCAGAAATTTCTCAACCTTGTCACAAATGACCTTAAGGCAGTGTATATTGGTACAGATTTGTTGAGGTCCACAGAGTTTTGCTAATTTGCTGTAATGAGAGCAGGGTTCAAAGAATAAGGTTTTTTTTAAAGAGGTGTTCTGTTGATAATTCTACTAGTTACTGAATTCCTGGTATATTTCGACCTGACTGTTTTGAACTTGCACCATTCAGGGATTTGTGCATTTCATTGCATGGTATGGGACGTGTTCTGTATTTTTCCGGGAATGATGCTTTTTACTGTAGCTGTTACGTAGGTTAAGATATAAAGTCCATAGCCGGAATTTTGGCCAAGAACAGGTTACATTTGACAGGGATTAAACTTCAGTGATTTCATAAAACAATGTGTTAATCAGTAATTGAGCAGTAACATGGTTTTATTGTAAATCTTTTGCTAATCTGGGTACTTACAACTTGCTTTCCAACTTCAACATATTCCTTCACTTGCAGTATTTAAAACAAGAGGCATTGCTAGAGTTTGTTTGGGGGTTATTTTTTTGGTGGTGGCACAGAGATTATGAGCCATTTCTGTTTATTGTGCACTTTGCACTGTTGTTGCTAAAAATGCATTTCTGACATCCCATAGCCTTCTTTTAAGCCTGCAGTGCTATAGTAATTCCAACAAATATATGGCTCATTGAAGTGCCATTATTTTTTCCATCAGCGAGATGAATAGTACCTTTAGAGCTACAATTTAATTCAGAAAATCAATGCAGGAGAATATACTGCTGTTGCATTCAGATTCTGCTTACAGGCTTCCTATAGGTAGCTGGTTGGCCACAGGATGTTGAACTAGATGGGTCTTTGGCCTCATCCAGCCGGGCTTTTCTTATAATCTTACGAACATGTAATAATTGCATTATTTTAAAGTGTACCACTATTAGTAATTTATATAATACTTTTCATTGGTATGTAAAAATATATATAGTCCATCTTGCTGATCTACTCAGCAGGATATATAAGTCACTGTCCCCATTTGCACATGGCAAACTGAGGTCAAAAGAGAGAGATTTTCCCAAGACTACCCATATAGTTTTACTGATAAGTAGGGATTTGAATTCGGGCCTCATAAGTGAAATTCCAAAACTATGTGCACTGGAGTACTGTGGCTCTCATTTCTGTTCTGTTTGTTGAATTGTTTTGAAAGGAATTGATGCTTAAGGCCTTTTTTTTTTTTTAAGAAAAACGGGGTAAGAAAAAACCAAAACCAAAACCGTACATTGCAAATAGATTCCCCCCCCCCGTGACCTCACTTTTTAAAATCAAAGACTCAAAGTAGATGCCAGTTTGCCAAAAGAATCAAGCAAGTGACCCTTTCCTTCAGAATTCTGTTCATAGTCATATGTTTGACTGGTTCGCAAACATTGGGTACACTTTATGTGATTGATGGAATCAAACTAGCTTTGTAGGTTTAATGAAAATCTAAGCAGTGCCAGAAATGTATTAAGCAGCATGACGCAGTTAACCTGAAAATAGTTCAAGATGAAATTGCCCTTCATATGGACTCCCAATTGTGTGAGGTGGGTGGAGGAGAAGGGCAGGACAAAATGCAGATGAGCACTGAAGTTGCCTACTAAAAAAGGCTGAGCCTCACAGTAGCCCATTAGTATTTCAGCCTTTGAGCCTCAAAATTCCTTATGCTTTGTTTCATCATCAGTGGCACATTTTGCATAATTACTCACTTGTTTTCTGGCTATTCTAACGCCTGAAACATGGAGCCGCCCTATTTTTTGACATCCTCTGAATCAGAAACCTAACAATGGCTATCTCTAGAGAGGGTGCACAGAGGGGATGAATTACTGTAGAAGACAGAATGAATTTGCCCTGATTTTTAAGACAAATCATTCCTATGAATGCATGCTCTGGTGGTTCTTCTGTGACTGCGAGAGATGTGTCTTTTGCATAATGCCAAGAAGATGAAGTTACCTTTGATGACAGGATGAGAATTTGGGAACATAGAATGGGTTATCATGTTGTGCGAAACTGACCAATAAATAAAAATAGTTAACTGTCTTTCCTAGCAAATGGTCCTAAGGTAGTGTACAATTCTAGCTATTTGCTAGTTTAATTTTTTATTGCAGTTTCTTAGTTAGTGGTGGTACATTTAAGGATGAAAATGAAATCACATTAAGGGCATAAAACTGAAACCTTAAAACCACAAAACAGAGAGTAAAAACTGGAATCTTCAAACAGCAGCAAGGACATTATGCAGTCAAATGCCTCCTGAATGTAACGACCTTAAATCCATTTATAAGCTTTCTGCAAGATAGTTTGATTCAGTAATATTTATGAATGAGAGTGCCTGAGGTCGTGTGAACAAAGCATTTTTTCCCTCCCTTGTTGTTGAGCTGGAGAAAAAAGAAATCGGAGATCAGAGCTGATGCAGAAGCCAGAGCCAGGACAGTGATAAGGGATGATTATCGGAAGCTGGGACCAATAAAGTAAGTCACAAGGAAAGCCATACAAGACTCAGTCAACTGTGTTTAAACCTGACTGTGGGGTGGAGAAATGGCCTTGGGCGGGGGGGGGGGCAGAGTTTGCTGGGGGAAATTGATGTGTGTCTCTATGTGTGCGTGAACGGTTAAGCACCCTCTTCTCCCATCTGCTAATTCTCTCCTACACACACACACACACACACACACACACACAGAGGTTATTTCATCAAATTCAGATTTGGGAGCACACATTCACCAAGGTAGCGTTTGGTTCCACTGTGTGTGATAATTAAATATGTGTGTGATATTTCTTTTCTTTTCTTTTTAAATAATTTTTATTCATTTTTAAACATATTAATTGTCATACATACCACAAACTTTCACATCTTATACAATCTTTTTGGACTTCCATCAGCACCTCTGATGATCCCCCATTTTTATCATTTCTTCTGCATTTCTTAAATTCATATTGCCTTTAATTATCTTAACTAACGTCTTCCTTTTTATCCAATTCTGCAATAATTCAAATTATTCACCTCACAAAGCTTCCTGCAAACCTACAAATGTAATCTGGTCATCACAATTACTTTTCAAATAGTCCGTAAATTTACACCAATCATCTGTTAATCTCTGGTCCCGCCGGTTTCGAATTCTTCCTGTTAGTTTGTCTAATTCTGCATAGTCCATCAATTTCATCCTCCAATCTTCTTTCACACACGAAAGAAGTGTGTGATATTTCTTTTGTTTGTCTGGTAGTCTGGGGTCATTTTCCTTAGTTCATGGATGGCTATTCCATGGCCCTCCAGGTATTTATGGATTCCAGTTCCCATCATTCCTCACCATTAGACATGCTGGTCAGGGCTGATAGGGGTTGCAATGCGACAATATCTGGAGGGCAACAGGTTTCCCTGCCCTAAAGGTAAAGGCACCCCTGCCCGTACGGGCCAGTCTTGACAGACTCTAGGGTTGTGCGCTCATCTCACTCAAGAGGCCGGGGGCCAGCGCTGTCCGGAGACACTTCCGGGTGACGTGGCCAGCATGACATCGCTGCTCTGGCGAGCCAGAGCCGCACACGGAAACGCCGTTTACCTTCCCGCTTGTAAGCAGTCCCTATTTATCTACTTGCACCCGAGGGTGCTTTCGAACTGCTAGGTTGGCAGGCGCTGGGACCGAACGACAGGATCGCACCCCGCTGCGGGGATTCGAACTGCCGACCTTTCGATCGGCAAGCCCTAGGCGCTGAGGCTTTTACCCACAGTGCCACCCGCGTCCCTGCCTTAGACAACCCCAAAGTTTTTCTGCATTTTATCGGTTACCATAGGATAAGCATTTTTCTTGTTTGTTACAAACACCACAGCTTTCAACTACTTCAGCCGCAGCTGAAAGAAAGTTTAGCTCAGGCTATACCTCTGAAGCAAATCCTAAACTGCAGAGTCAACTGGAGACTTTACAGTTGATGATGGGCTGCTTAATTACTTCTGCTAAATTATTTATGCAAGGAACAAACTTATTCTCTAATTAGCCAGTCTAGTGCATTTGGAAGCATTTGTAGCACACTCATGAACAGTCCCAGAGACAAATGAAGCACTGAAGCCATGACAGGAGTGAGCCAGCAGTAAATTACACCAACGAGCTGGAGTTAACTCCTTTTTTAAAGCAAAAACAGGATCTGCACAGGAGTGTGAGGCCTAAGGAGCACAGCAACTCATTTCCAGCAGGTCTTGCTCCCATGAAGCAGTTGCTGAAACTGAAGTTGCCCAACTCCCCACAGCTGCATCCAGGGTTTTCTCCAAACAATCTGATACTGCACCTGCATGAAGCTAACTTTGCCTCCACTCTTTTTATGCCTCTTCTGACTCTGGGAGACCAGTGGAGAGGAGAGCTGGTCACAGCAGGAGGGGGAGACACCCATGCCTCTTCACCAGCCAGACTCATCCCTGCTTCTTGGCCTCCCTCCTCTCCAGCCTCCGCTTCTACCGCTGATTCTGGACTGCTTTCTGCCACCGACTCCCCCTGCTCACTAAGCACTGTTACCTCTTCAGCTTTCGACACCTCTTCCCAGTCTTCTCTCACTTCTCCCTCTGACCACTTACTGTTATTCTACCACCAATCCCTCGGATCTGAGCCTTCTTTCATGCTTCCTCCCACCATTCCTCTGCAGCCAATCAGTCCGTGACAAGATATCATGAATAATCATTTATGTGGTCTGTGTGAGAGATAGAAAAGTTGCATGCAGATTGCAAGGGGGAAATCAAGAGGATTTGGCTTTCTAAATCATTTAGTGTTTTGTTTTGTTTTGTTTTTGCATATCACATTAAAGCCGGCATTTTATTTTTATTTTTTTATTATGAATTTTTTATTTAGATTTTCTGTCATACAACTGAAAAGAGAAAGAGAAATAATACATAACAGAAAAGAAACATTAAATCATTATACATTAAATCATTATACAATATCCCAAAAGAAAAAAACATAAACAAAATAAAACAAACCCACCACCCTGTTTAGCGTCCCTCAAACCGCTACTCGTCTTGTCTGGAATCAATTTTACCCTTATCACTGCATTCTGATTGTTTTTATTTTCTCTATATACATATATAGATCTTTGATAGATTATTGTTTTGATGCATTTACATTCTTAGTCTAAGCATATTAGCATGTATTTTTAGAGCAGTATTTTGTCAAAGCATTGCCATTCATTTTTTAGTTTTTGATTTGACTGCTGTCGTATAGATGCTGTTAATTTAGCCAATTTTAAATATTCGTTTAATTTAAGAATCCATTCCTCCTTGATATGTAGCTATTTAGCTTCCCATTTAGATGCTATTACTATCCTCGCTGCAGCGGTCGCATATAAGAAAATTCTTTTTTTCGATTTCGGTATTTCTTTTCCTAATAGGCCCAGTAAGTAAGCCTCTGGTTTTTTCGTTAATGGGATTTTAAGCATTTTTTTCAACTCCTCATGTATTTCTCCCCAGAAGTACTTAATTGGGGTACAACTCCACCACATATGCATTGTTGTTCCAGCTTCCTTGTTGCATTTCCAACAGAGGTTGGATTTCAGTTCATAGATTTTTGCTAATTTGACTGGTGTTAAATACCACCTGTAGAACATTTTGATGAAATTTTCTTTTATTGTACTACAGGCGGTAAATCTTATATCTTTCTGCCAAAGTTTCTCCCATTGCTCTAAATATATTGTATGGCCGAAGTCTTGCGCCCATTTAATCATTGTCTCTTTCACTTCCTCATCAGTCATGTCCAGATCTAGCAAAAGGTTATACATTTTAGATAGTATATATATATTTAATAGTGCTTCATACATTAATGAATTCTCTTTAGTGAAGCCTTTCTTCGAGTCTGAATTAAAGACACTTCCAAGTTGTATATGTTGCCATCTGTCGGAGACATAATGCCTTATTTCTTCATATGGTCTTCTTCTTAATTTACCTTGATCTTACATTATCAAATCTCTATATGTTGCCCATTCCTTGTTCATGTTTAGTTTTTTGATGGCACGGGCTTCTAGAGGTGAGAGCCACCATGGTGTCATTGGCTCCAGTCTCGATTTGTACTTGCTCCAGACTTTAAATAATGCATTTCTAATTAAATGGCTGTTGAAATCTTTATGGGCTAAATCATTTAGTGTTAACCAGTCCTTTCTTTTTCAGATATAGTCGGTGCTAACCATTTCTTAAAAAGGCACTTTCATTAGCTGTTACTGTATTTGAGCACTCACAAATAACAGGATGCTGTAGACCTAGTTAAGTCTCCTTGCTAGCATCACTGAAACGGTTTGTTGCCACTGACGTGAACAATGTTTACTGCTGACCAATCTGTCCTGTCAATCACCATAGTCTTGTGGCAGCCTAAAAACTGACAGATGTATTGTGTCATAAGTCTTCATGGACTAGCGTTCATCTCTATGACAAGTTTTGTTGTTGTTTAGTCGTGTCTGACTCTTTGTGACCCCATGGACCAGAGCACGCCAGGCACTCCTGTCTTCCACTGCCTCCCGCAGTTTGGTCAAACTCATGTTTGTAGCTTCGAGAACACTGTCCAACCATCTCGTCCTCTGTCGTTCCCTTCTCCTTGTGCCCTCCATCTTTCCCAACATCAGGGTCTTTTCCAGAGAGTCTTCTCTTCTCATGAGGTGGCCAAAGTATTGGAGCCTCAGCTTCAAGATCTGTCCTTCCAGTGAGCACTCAGGGCTGATTTCCTTAAGAATGGAGAGGTTTGATCTTCTTGCAGTCCATGGGACTCTCAAGAGTCTCCTCCAGCACCATAATTCAAAAGCATCAATTCTTCGGCGATCAGCCTTCTTTATAGTCCAGCTCTCACTTCCATACATCACTACTGAGAAAACCTTAGCTTTAACTATACAGACCTTTGTTGGCAAGGTGATTTCTCTGCTTTTTAAGATGCTGACAAGTTTACTGGTCCACAAAAGCTTATGCCTTAATACAGTTGTCCTTGCTGGGGCTGATGGGAGCTGTAGCTGAACAACATCTGGGGGGCTATAGATTCCCCACATTTGCCCTAGACAATCTGGGTGTGCAGTACAGGCAGAGAGTCCTCTCATCCCTGCCCTTTGAGAGCTGCTAAGTAGATCCTGCTCATAGTTCCATCAATTAATTATCCAGTCATGGACCTTCAGAGTAGGACCTTCTTACCAGTTGCTCCAACCCCTCTGGGAGGCGGCATGCTTGGCTACTATCATTGGCTACTTTTAGAAAAGTAACAAAAACTCATCTGATAGTTTTTGAGGACTATTATCTGATAAAACTGCTGCAGGCTGATTTTAGTTGTTGATTTTGTTCTTCTGCTTTATCAGTTACAAAGGTTGCATTCTCTCTTTCTCCTCCCCCCCCCTTGCAAACTGCTGTATTATTATTATTTTAAGCAGCACATAACTATTGCAAAATAAATAAATCGAGGGAACCTGAACATATCTGGGGGGAAAGCACTTTTCACCGTTGGTGGATATTATGAAAGATTAGTGTCTACTGAAGCATTCATGTCACTATAAACCAGCAACCTGCAACATATCATTGTAAGAATCAAAGGCCCTTTTTTCCATTCTAAGAGCACAGAAAGTCTATTAAACCAGCCGTGGCCAATTTGATTAGCAACTCCAGATTTCTTCCAAATGGTTTATGTTCCTTAAATCTAATGTTTTGTTTTGTAATTTGGTTCCTAATCTTCTCTTGATATGTAAAACCAGGAAGAGAAGAGTACAATTTAATGATGCCCCATTATAAGGTAGCTTTCTCATCCTATTCCGTCCTCAACTTCCAAAAATTGAGATTTCAAATAATTGTTTCATGATTTTCTGTTTGTGGTTAGAACGTCACACACACACACACACACACACACACAAAATTAAGGCATCCAGGGAAGGGGGCAGGCTCTGTCCCTGCCACTCTCTCTCTCTCTCTCTCTCTCTCCTCTGTGTGTGTGTGTGTGTGTGTGTGTGTGTGTGTGTGTTTGTGTATGTGAGTGTGTACAAATCCACCCACCCTTCTTTCCCTGCCAGGGACTCAAGGTGGCTTGCGGATCATGATGCTTTTTGCTTGAATGCCAAGGCAAAGGCCCCCTTTGACTGTGGCTGGATAGCTCAGTCGGCAGAGCATGAGACTCTTAATCTCCAGGTCATGGGTTTGAGCCCCATATTGGGCAAAAGGGTTTCTGCCTTTCAGGGGGTTGGACCAGATGTCCCTCATGGGTCCTTCCAACTCCTATGATTCCATGCATACCACAGTGCAAAGTACAGAGGTCCCATGTGTACCAGCTGTACTTGGTGGGGCACCGTTCTAATGGACAAGTGTAGATAAGGAGGAGGTCCTACCCATGCCTTGCCACTGGTGTGTTCATTCCACATGAGGGATAAGAGCCTGAAATGGGCTAAAGTCTGTGGTCATTGAATCTTGAAACCTCCCACAAATGATCACTCTTCTGCTTTCTATCACATTCATCGTTGTAAAAAACACACACCACACAGTCAAGTTGAGCAACCATGTGTTTCTTCTTATTGCATGATTTAGTTATAACATGGGAGGCCCAAGTTGTTAATCCGAATGCCTGCAGAGATATGTTGAAACACAAATATCTGCTCCTATGTATATTTTACAATTCCCCTCTATGAACTTCAGTGCTAGAAAGTTTGCTGACACTCGGGTTATATTTTAATTTTGGAAATGTGTATCTAGCCCAAGGCCACTTCTGCATTTTGTTCTGAAACAATCAAAATTCCCCTTTGCTCTTTTCTGCGCAACATTGCCAGCCTTCCTCAGATTTCCACCTACTGGTCACAGTTGAACTCATCCTCAAGCAAGACTGGGGAAAATGATGTCTTCATTACAATGACTCGCTGCATTTCCTTCCTCTACAGGTTTGCTGAACAGGCAGTATTTGTACTTTTCTGCTTATTCGCAATCCTGCTATTCTCCAGAGACCCTAAGTTCATCCCGGGCTGGGCAAGCTTGTTCACACCAGGGTAAGAAATTTATTTCTGTATATTTCTGTCAGGCCTTTGTTCTCCATCCCCCCTTCCACACAAACACCCCCCCTCGCACCAGCATTAATGTTTCATTTAATTGCTCATCTCAAGGAATTCTCTCAGAGTTTCTTTTTTGCCTGGGGCAGACATAGTATTCCCAGTCCCCTAACCTTGGGAGATGGTTGTGGCTGTGGGCCTCTTTGATCAGTAGTCAATCCATCAGTTATCAAGGGTCAAATTGAAGGTGGTTAACCTTCCTGAGACACATGTGCTTTCTCTTGCTTCTCTCTTCAGGTTGCATTTTCAAGGCTTACAGTTTGTTCGCTAGTAGAACAGTTGCCTGGTTTAGGACTGTAACTCACAGATTTACAAATTGTGAGTGTATCTGAAGATAAATAGGGACATAGAAAGCTGCCTCAGGCTGTGTACACATTGCTGTTTAGTCTGGCTCTGGTGTGCTCCCACCTCTGTTTTGCTGAATTTGCATACACATCATATTACCCAGGATGCAGAGCTATCCTGTAGTTTCTTGAGAAATAGTGCTGTTCCATGCATTTCCCCTCAAACCAGCTTCAATCCAAATGGAGAACTCAAGGTCACATTCACATCACAGTTAAGCTGAGGTGTGTACATTTGGGAGTGCCATTGCACATGTGCAGATGACAGCAGAAACTGAACAGGTTATGTGCCTTGGGTGAAGACACCCCTGCTCTTTCTCTGGTGCGTACAGTCATGTGTAAATGTGACTTGAAACACATTGGGGGAATCTACCTCTAGAATGGTTTAAGCCACTAATGTGTACATACGACTTTTGCACTGAGTCAGACCATTGGTCTATCAAACTCAGTATTGTCCACATTGACTTGTGGTGGCTCTCCAGGGTTTCAGACACAGAGAGTGGCATCCACACTTCCATCTGCCCCACTGCTTCCCCTAGAGGAAACCTATGGTTTAGCACTGAATTGGAACCAATGGCAATTGGGCCTTCTGCGGATTGCTGTTTGTTCCGATTTAGCACTAAAGAGCGAGTCTTCTGGGGGAAGGCAGTGGGCAAAGGCAACATCACTCATCACCTAGAAAGCTTGGGGCAAGTGGAAAGCTGTTAGGGCCTGTGTTTTCTAGGCATGGGAGGAGTAGAATGGTGGACGAGCCCAGAGTATTTCTTAGCACTCCCTAGTGATTCCAGGAATTGAGTCTGGAGTATCTGCATGCAAAGTCACTGACCTTGGTCTCCTTTGACAAATGTTTCTTCTCTTCCACCACTTATTCTTGAAATTCTCCCTCCCTCCCTGTTAGGTTTGTCACCGATGCTGTTACTGGAGTCACAATAGTGACAATATTGTTCTTCTTCCCGTCGAAAAGGCCGTCCCTTAAATGGTGGTTTGACTTGAAAGGTAAGCTTCTGGCTTTGAAACCCTTTGACCTAGTTCTTCTGCTTTCTGTAGAATTGACTATAAAACTAGCCTTCAACAAGCACTAGGCACAGGGTCACTAGGTCACCATTTCCTGAATGACTCACCCATAGAGGAGCTTAGAGATCAATCTTACAAGGAAGAGAACAGAGGAATAAGACTCATCTACTGGCTCATGATGTCCCAATGGGTCCCAACCAAGCATTAAAATACTCATCCCCTTTTCTTTTTAGAAAAGGGACACAGATATTCATCCTTTTCTGGTGCTGATTGGGAGATTTTCTCCCTGCCTAACAGTCCAAGGTTCTCCAAACACCATCTACTGCCCGCCATCTATATGTCCCTGGTGGTATCTTTTCTGCCTGTGAAGTGCTTCATGCTACGAAATAAACCAGTGTGCTCACAGACATCTGGAACATTGGTACAATGAGTTAAAAACCTGGAAGATTGTGTGACTTGCTTGCTGTTCAACAAAAGCACATCATACGAGGACTTGAGCAATTGCAAGGAATAGCTCTATGAAGGGTTAAGAGAGAAAAGTGGAAGCTATCTCTTGTTCAGCCTTCATGTGTTAATAAGGCCTCTCTTGTGAAATAGGGTACCTTGCTTTGCAAAAAAATCCTTTTATGACCTTTTATGGATGAGATCTGGGTTTTCCTTTACCATACATCTCACAATCTTTGAGCTGCGAGTAGAAAATTAACGTTGCGGTTAACTTAGATCCAAAGTGCAAATGAAAGGGGGATGGGGATGTCCAAATGTTGCTGGACTACAGCTCCCATCATCCCTAATCATTCCCCTTGCTGGCTGGGTCTGATGGGAGTTGGAGTCCCACAACATCTGGTGGGCCACTGCTTCCCCTCCCTGCCTTAGGCTGCGATCACAAAGTTTGCTAATCTCGCTCTATGTTCACAAACCTCTTTGTCTAGCGTCAAACACAGAGAACCAGCCCTTGCTGACTTGGAGAAAAGCCCAGGAAAGTGTACCATGGAATATAATCCTATTGCTTGGAGGAGGTTTTGCCATGGCAAAAGGATGTGAGGTATGCTTGTAAAAAAATAATAATGCACCACTTTCCATCTTTTCTAAAGGGACTGGGTTGTTGTTGTTTTTTAGGGCACCTGTCACGGACTGGTTGGATGCAGAGGAGCGGGTGGGAGGCACTAGCTGGGGAACCCCCAAGGGAACCCCCAGGGGAAGAAGGCTCAAAGCCAGGGGATTGTTGGTGGGACAACAATGAGTGTTCAGAGGGAGAAGAGGGGGAGAGCAGACTGGGAGGAGGAGGCAACAGAAGCTGAAGAGGCAACAGGGTTTAGTGAGCAGGAAGAGGCTGTGGCAGAGGGCAGTCCAGGATCTGAAGCTGAAGCAGAGGCTGGAGAGGAGTGGGGTCAGGCTGCTGAAGAAGCCAGGGAGCCTCCCCCTCTGCTGTGACCAGCTCCCCTCCTCCCTGGTCTCCCAGAACACTGAGAGGAATGAAGAGGGCAGAGCAAAGAGAGATAAGGTGAAGGAGCCTCAGGTTCCTGGGAAGGCGGGGGAGGAGTTTTCAAGAGCGGTGGGAACACAGGGAGCTTCAGTCCTCGCAACAGTCTCCTTGGGGCAAGACCTGTGCTATGTTGGTTTCTTTGAATTAAAGAGTTAACTTCTCTGAACCAGGTGTTTTATTGCTGAGCTGCTCCAGAGTTTGGCTCCTGACAGCATCATGACACTTGATTACTGCAGAACAAGCTACATGCTACTTTGCATGCATGTTTGCATTCATGTGTGTGACTAATTCGGAGCATGACCAGCTCTCTTTTTTTAACCATTCTTACACACATACACAATGTTCTGGAAAATGGCCACTTACCTGGAAATCTTGAGGAGTGATGGTTTGTGGGCTTAGCATGGCTGCAGTGTGGCCCAGAGCCATTTTACATCAATGGTCGTTGAGGCAATGCCTGCTTCTTCCCACCATGGCCATGGGTCAGCTGACTGGGGACCATTTTCAAACGAGCCTATCAGGAGGCTGCCTGGAGTTGAGGTTGTGGCAGCAGACCTGAAATATGATTTGACCTGCATCATAGGGCGACACTCAACCTAGGGCCAGCCCAGCCCTCTCATCTGCCAGTTGGTGGGCTGTTTGATGTCAGATACATACCCAATGCCTTCGCCAAAGTCTACTTAAAATGTTGTGGCCTACTTCAACCCAAGTGGAGGTTTCTTCCTGTGGTAAATGTTAGCTTTGCTGGGGGGGGGGGTGATTTTAATCAAGACTAGAGCCAATCCCACCAGCCTGTTTGCACTGCACTGCTATTGACAGGAGATCAGATAAGCCCCACAGACGACTACTGCATTTAATGTAATGTGTAGTTCGGGCCTAAGCGCTAAAACAAGCAATACTTTCAGACATGGAAGAGCCGTTGGTGAGTTGATTTGCCTGCTCATTTTCACATGCTAAAGTGGCCAAGTAGTGTTCGCACATTTTGTCATCCTAGGAAACATTACGAAACCAGGGTTTTCTAGGATGTGGCCATAATCTTAGTATCCTCGCAAGGCCAAATTCACCACATAGCATTTGAGGAGAAAGTCATCTTGTGGTGAATATTCAACTTCAAAAATGGTCATGGGAGTTGGCTTTCATTTGCAGTAGATTTGTGTTTTAAGAGGACAAATGTCCCACAGCTCATACAAGCTGACAAAACTACCTCAGAGGAAGCTCTCTTATGCTGTGATAGCTTGACCATTGGTACCATACTGCCAGTGCTAAGGAAGATTTTGCCATGTATGGAGCATATATGTGGTAGTTTGGGTATTAAAATGGCGCCTGGGGGAGGGTAAATTTCAATTGCAAGTGAAATGATCTGTTCCTGAGTTACCATCTCATGACGAGAGCTGAAAAACACAGGAAAGAATCAGCCACCATAGAATCACTTGTGCAAACCTGTGATTGTTTTTATATGTTTGTTTTTAGTACGTTGTTGTTTTATATTTTTAATCATATTGATTTTAACAATGGTGTATTTGCTGCGCTGGGCTCCTTTAAGAGGATGGGTGGGCTTTAAATTTAACAAACACATAATTTTTCTACCTTGCTATAGGAGTCTGGCTTGTCTGTCTGGATTGGAGGCCAGCTTGATCCCCTGGAGAACCTCCCTCCTGCTGTAGCTGTTATTCTCATTACGGCAGTGATCGCGTTATTCACAGAATTTGCAAGTAACACAGCCACAATCATAATCTTCCTGCCTGTCCTGGCAGAACTGGTAAGGGGCATATGCACATCTTTCAACCAAGGGGTTAAGTTAAAGGTATGAATGTGAATGAATGCTTATTATTACGGCCAAACAACCAAGCATACTAAGTTAAGAGTAGAGTGGCCATTGCTGCTATTGAGAGAGAGGGAGGTAATTTATATATGTTGATTTATATGTATATATGCAGATTTAGACATAACTACTATAATGTAAATAGAAATTGGGACGCGCGTGGCGCTGTGGGTTAAACCACAGAACCTAGGACTTGCCGATCAGAAGGTCGGCGGTTCGAATCCCTGCGACGGGGTGAGCTCCCGTTCTTCTGTCCCTGCTCCTGCCAACCTAGCAGTTCAAAAGCACGTCAAAGTGCAAGTAGATAAATAGGTACCGCTCTGGCGGGAAGATAAACAGCGTTTTCGTGCGCTACTCTGGTTCTCCAGAAGTGGCTTAGTCATGCTGGCCACATGACCCGGAAGCTGTACGCCAGGCTCCCTCGACCAATAAAGCGAGATGAGTGCCGCACCCCAGAGTCGGTCATGACTGGACCTAATGGTCAGATGGTCCCTTTACCTTTTAAATAGAAATTAATCTCACCATAGCGGGAGAAGATTTGACCTGGGTGACCAGCATGCCTGTTCTGTCTGCTATCCAAGTGCAAATGGGCAACTTCAAGGCTCCTCCTGTTCTTTCTTCTTATGGTTCTTTGAACTGGACTTGGGCAGGACAGCTCTTCAAATAGAGGACACCTTCAAGTAGAAGACTCTTTAAATAACTCTTTAGATATGAGGTATTCCTTAGCAAGTTGAACACATGGCTCACCCTAATCTTGGGTGGTAGGAGGAAGGTTGGCCTATATCATCATCATCATCATCATTATTACATCCCATCCTTCACTCAAAGATCTCAAGGCGGTGTACATTTGGTTTCTCGTCTGCATTCTGTCCCTCATTACCAACAGCTCCATGTGGAGTAACTAGTGGGAGACTCAAAAGTACTTTTCAGCTTTACTTCTGAAAAATATTACTAGGCTGACAACCTCAAGGCAGACAGACAGCTTTTGAACCCACAGAGTCCACATGTACTATTCTCAGTGAACAGCATGCCCTCTTCTGACCTGCTTATTCTGCCTGAGGAAACTTCTGGACTCAGCTGAATAGGATTTTGTGTTATGATTGGGCTTCCTTCCACAATTCCCCATATTCAGATAGCCAGAAATAAGGCTCCTTGTGCCTATTTCAAGAAGGCTCTCTCTCTCTCTCTCTCTCTCTCTCTCTCTCTCTCTCTCTGTGTGTGTGTGTGTGTGTGTGTGTGTGTGATGGAAAACAAATCTCCAGTGGCCTGTTTTACACAACACGATAAACCAAACTCTGGTTTATTGGGACCACACAAACATGCAGCTTGCTGGAGAGGTTCTTTACACCTCCCTAGCCTTTTATTACTCCCACACTGCGGACCTTAAGTTGTTCTTGGACACTAGTTCCCATCAGCCTCACCTATCATCGCCAATAATCAGGGATGATGGGAGTTGTAGTCCAGCAACATTGAAAAAGATGCAGGCTCCTCATTCCTGGTCCAGCATGTTCTACCAGGATCATCTAGAGCAGGTGTTGGGAAACCTTTGACCTTCCAGATGAACTGCAACTACCATCAGCCCCAGCAATCATGACTAATGGGTAGGGTTGATGGGAGCTGCAGTTCAGCAACATCTGGAGGGCCAAAGGTTTCCCATGCCAAATCTAGTGGAAGCTTTCAGAAGGATCTATGATCACACAAAAACTTCTTTGCAGTCTTTTCAAGAATCTCATGCGATGCTTACAGTTCAGCTAATAAATCATAACACACCACCCCCTTCTTGTTTTTTTCAAGGCCATTCGTCTGAAAGTGCATCCCCTCTACTTAATGATACCAGGAACCATAGGATGCTCATTTGCTTTCATGCTTCCAGTCTCTACACCCCCAAATTCAATTGCCTTTGCTTCTGGGCACTTACTGGTTAAAGATATGGTAAGTAATTTTACATAGTAATCACTATCAATAGCTTAATTATCTAGAGCAGGAGAAGGCCATAGAGGTGAGGAAAGGGTGTTCAGTTCTCTTCCCCTGCCAAACTTCCCCGAAACAGCCTCTCTCAGGAGCTGCTATTTGTATTTCAGGGGAAGCTCGCCTTGGTTCCAATGGAGGCTTCCCTTGAGATGCAAACAGCAGCTTCAGTCGGGTTCTGGTTTCCCTTTGACTGCTATTTACATAATAAAAAGGCATGCACCTTACTTGCATTCACGCAAGTGATGGCATGTCTAATGTGGCATGCCCTATCCAACTATTTGTGCCCAGGAGAATGGATGACATCAAAACATCAAACTGTTTATTCCTGCTTCACTCACAGTAAATTATTGTTGGGTATTCCAGCAGTAAGTTAGCACCAAATTATGTCTGGTCAACTGTAGAAGCACACTGGATGAAACACACATCTCTGCCACCACTTTCACAAGGTCTTCATTCCTTTCCAAAATGTGGGCAGAATATTACTAAATTTTAGGTTTGTTTGTTTTTGAAGGAATTGCTTAGCTGTGGGTGGGTGGCATTAGCAAGTTCAGCTGCGTGACAACCATTTTAAAAATGGAGCTGAGAGGAACTGAGAAGGGGCAAATTCTGTCACTTAGTTCGCTATCCACTTCCTCTCAACTTTGTTTACAAAATGGCAGCCAGGCTACCAGTCTCTCAGCTCAATCTACAGTGAGGGGAGTGCCTTGGATTTTAAAGCACAACAGACCAGGGGCTATGGTCCACCAGCTCTTCCCAAATTTGCCCCTGAACTTTGGGGAAATTTCTTCTCGCACCCTGAAAAACAAACAAAACAAAACAAAACCCTGAATGTTTCACTGTGATGAACATTCAGTGCAGGCCTAAGTAGGAGCCTATTCAGCAGCAAAGTGCCAATGTTCATATGTGTCTAAGACTAAGGGTACTTTCAGATTGGGGTTTAACATTGCAAATGGTTAGGTGAGATATTGCCAACAGGACCCTGTAAACAGGCTTTGTAAATAGCTAAACAAATAACCCATAATGGATTTCACCTGGAAAGAGTAATTCCAGTTTTTAGGGGGAGGTGGGGTGAGATTCAGGCTGGCATTTTGATGTCAATGACATCATTTGGACACTGCAATAAACTTACATCCATGAGGAGCACTGATGCCACAATAAACACCCACCTGGAAGCACCCATAGCAGTTTTTCAGTATTACAGAAGAAATTGGGAATTAGGTGTGAACGAAATTTTCAGTTTTTAAGGTTCAGTAAGGTTTGCTCACAAATGTGAGGGCTGACAATGGAAAAGTTAATCCTAGTGTTTGTTGGCAAGCTTCTATATTTATTCTATTCAAAGAACATAATTCCAGCAGAGAACTAACAAGTAATTGCAGTCTCACCCCTGGCTCCTGTCACTCTTCATTTGTTTTCAAGTTTCCAGGGCTTGAGGGTATGAACTAACCAAAGCCTTGTTTAAAAAGAGATGGAAAACAGTAATTTACTAATTATTCCAAATGAATTTTTTCCAAGCAGATCACCACCAGATATTGCAGAAGAACTTAATTTTCTCACTTACTCTTACCTAAAATGCATAGTACACTTGGTTACATTTCTGTCCTGTTATCAGACTTTGAAACAGCATGAAATTCCAGCACTAGAATTTTCTTGACTTCACTGATTGGGTATGAGTTATTTGTCCAAACATGCTTAGAACAATTTCACTGATGGTTTTCATTCAGGAAGAGGCCTAGACGAAGGAAGGATGGAAGAAATTGCAACATACTACCTTAGGAGAGATAGAATGCACATTTATAATTTAGTTAAATGGTCAAAGACAGGTAGGGGGGACACTCACCTGTCAAAATCTCTTTTGCAGCTTTACCAGCTTCCCTTTGAAGCTGGCTCTTTCTTTCTTTAAAGAGGATTTGATTTGTAAACCCCAATGCATTGTTCTCCATTATACAAAAACCATTCACCCAGAAGGCAGGTTTAGCTCTAATGAATTTACAGGACCGTAGAGGCTTGTTCGGAGAAACTTCTTGACAGTTCAACAATGGAACCGATTACTTAGAAGGCTTGTGTGGAGGACTCCCTGGTCCTGAATAGGGTAACTGTGCCCCTGAAGGACCAGGTGCGCAGCCTGGGAGTCATTTTGGACTCACAGCTGTCCATGGAGGCGCAGGTCAATTCTGTATCCAGGACAGCTATCTACCAACTCCACCTGGTACGCAGGCTGAGACCCTACCTGCCCGCGGACTGTCTCGCCAGAGTGGTGCACGCTCTAGTTATCTCCCGCTTGGACTACAGCAATGCGCTCTACGTGGGGCTACCTTTGAAAGTGACTCGGAAACTACAACTAATCCAGAATGCGGCAGCTAGACTGGTGACTGGGGGCGGCCGCCAAGACCACATAACACCGGTCTTGAAAGACCTACATTGGCTCCCAGTACGTTTCCGAGCACAATTCAAAGTGTTGGTGCTGACCTTTAAAGCCCTAAACGGCCTCGGCCCAGTATACCTGAAGGAGCGTCTCCACCCCCATCGTTCTGCCCAGACGCTGAGGTCCAGCGCCGAGGGCCTTCTGGCGGTTCCCTCATTGCGAGTAGCAAAGCTACAGTGAACCAGGCAGAGGGCCTTCTTGGTAGTGGCGCCCGCCCTGTGGAACGCCCTCCCATCAGATGTCAAAGCGATAAATAACTACCTGACATTCAGAAGACATCTTAAGGCAGCCCTGTTCAGGGAAGTTTTTAATGTGTGATATTTTAGTGTATTTTTGGTTTCTATGGAAGCCGCCCAGAGTGGCTGGGGAAACCCAGCCAGATGGGCGGGGTACAAATAATAAATTATTATTATTATTATTATTATTATTATTATTATTATTATTATTATTATGATTCTCCCTCCCCAGAAGTCTTTGGACAGCCACTTTGGAAAGCTTTGTGTTTTCTGCATCACACAGCGGGTTGGGCTCTATGATGCCACAGATCATCATGATCTCTAAATCTGTTTCACCCCTCGTGGGTTTCTTCCACAGGCAAGGACGGGTCTGCTTATGAATCTGATGGGAGTTTTGTTTCTGAGTCTGGCTATCAACACTTGGGCCACGAGCATCTTTCAGCTGGGCAGCTTCCCTGACTGGGCCAACATCCATTCAGAAAACACGACCCTGCTGGTGGATGTGCAGAACGTCACTCTAAACTCAATGAGTAAATTATGAACAGGACAACCTTGTTGTGGGAGGAGCGCTCCCCCTTCAAATTTGGGCACTGAATTAGACCTACAGCAAGTACAAGAACGCACAGGTGATGGCGTCGTTGATGCCCCTCCTTATACAGGACTGCCATGTTCCTTTTATGTTTGTTTTTATAAATATTCGTGAGTACTCACTGGATAATTATTTTGTGCCTTGGAATAGTCTCTCCACTTTCATGCCAAAACCTCCCATCAGGCAGTTCTTAGGTAGGTTTAGACCTTAGTGCTGCATTGAATTCCACCCTTTGAGTGTGAATCCTAGGACACTGTGTGTAAATAAACAGTGACTGTGAACTGCAAGCCCTCTGCAAGTAGCTGCAGCGGATTCTGTGAAAAACTGCCAAGTCAGGAACATTATTAGTACACATATTATACCCAATCAGATCATATCCATTATCCAAATGTCATGTCTTGTTAGACCTTGTACAGCCATGATCCTAAAATCTGCCTATAGTGGTCTGTAGCCCGACTACGCACACAAAATGCCCCTATAGCCAGTGGAATATTGGAAGATGCCTTATACTGAGTGAGAATGAGAGAGAGATACCTCAGTATAATCTGTCTGCTGCTGTATTGTCTCACAGGCAGCAGCTCCCTGGGGTCTTAGTCAAGGTCTTTCTCAGTCGTAGGTGGAGATGCTGGAGTTTGTACAGGGTACCATTTGCATGCAGTGATAAACCAAAAGAAAGAGATCCGTCAATAAGACATACAAAATATTCAGGTCATGGACCAAGGAATGAATGACAAGAAGAATAAATTAGTAATGAAATTCACATATAAGGATACAAAACAATATGAAACTATGTTTCAATGGAATAAATAACCAATGTAAAACCTGAATATAAGCAGAAGCAATAAACCACCCAGATATCAGTGATAAACAATCCCAAATGCATATGTTGTAGAATACTACCTAATCCAAATACTATATAGCAGTAGAACTGCAGGTGAATGATGAAAATTCACTGGGATGAAGGCAGAATTTTTAACCATGGCTGTAGCAGATCCTTCCCCGGCACTGTGATCCAAGCTTATAAGCTTGCCTCATTTTAAAGTGGTACATATGTTTAGACCTATCTGTATTCATTCTACAGCTTACAAAAAACGAATTAAGAACAGTGGGAATGACTACTCCAGAGACTGGCAGGAGAAGTATATTGGTGACAACACAGGTGCTAGCCAGTAGGTGCTTTCCATAAGTAGCTTTGCCTATGTTCAGAACCAAACCAAACCAAACCAAATATACAAACTTGGCTTTTCAGAGGTCATTCTGGGACAGAAAGACGTGTGTTCACATTGCCCATAGGAGGACACTTCTATACTGACACCGCCGCTCTTAAATGTTACATCTGTCTTCATCCTGAGTGAGCTTAATCTTTCACTCTAAGGCAGCTCGCCATCTAGCAGCCAAAACAAATGGAAAGGGTTGTGACCTACCTCACAGGGTTGTTGTGAGGATGAGTGATATAATGGTGGTAGAAGTTTGAAGGGTTGTAGAAGTGATAAATGCAAGTCACTCAGCTGCTGATGCTGACTTGAGAATTGTGGATAAGTGGTGCGAATGTGCACCCTTAGCTGTGTGAAATATGTCTCTCTGTATTGGTCTTAACTAGGCAAACCTTAAAAGTCTAAACTGTGGAGACTGGCATGCCAACAAGAGATGTGCTAACTTAGTCGACATTTCCAGAGGATTATTATTGTTGGGATTTAAGGGGGGGAGGGGTTGATTCTTTGATTTCTTTTTATATAAAACTGATTATTTGGGTACTTTCAATGAAAGTGTTTGTAAATGGACAGTGATTCTAATCACCTCTGTAATGCAAATTCTACCTTTTGACGCTGTGTGTGTGTGTTTGTAAGAAATGGACATATTGTTAATGAAATATCACTGCTGAAAGCATGTTTTGAAAGATACAACACTGGAAGTTGCGTTGGGCCTGGGGAGGAGGCTTAAAAGCGAATTCTTGATGTGATGCAGAAGGAAAGATTCAGTGGCTTTGTAATTCTGCTGCCCTGCCTTATTCAGGATCTGTTCCTGGACCACAGCTGGTGAATACAGCCATTAGATCTACATCTCTCTCTCTCTCCTTCTCTTTAATCACAGTTGCTGCTGCTCTGAAAACCGCATTAAAATGGCATCATGGATACAAGTGTAACCAGAGGTCAAGCCAAAAGCACAAGAAATGCATCATCAACTAAGATCAATCATTGCTGCCCAAGCCTCACCATTATGAGAATTGAAAATGCAATGCATTTATCAGCCTCTTTCTTGCACTATTAATATCTACACTTCTTACTCTTAGGGAAAGTGTGGCGCTTATGTCTCTCCTGCTGCACATTGTCATGGGTTCGTGAGCATTAAAGGAGACAGTACTCAAAAAGAAAGGTATCCCAATGGAAAATGTAGGATGTAATCCTATGCAGACTAGGTAAAGGTAAAGGGACCCCTGACTGTTAAGTCCAGTCTTGGACGACTCTGGGGTGCGGTGCTCATCTCATTTTACTGGCCGAGGAAGCCGGCGTTTGTCTGCAGACAGCTTCCAGGTCATGTGGCCAGCGTGACTAAGCTGCTTCTGGCGAACCAGAGCAGCGCATGGAAACGCCATTTACCTTCCCACCGGAGCGGTACCTATTTATCTACTTGCACTTTGACGTGCTTTCAAACTGCTAGGTTGGCAGGAGCAGGGACCGAGCAATGGGAGCTCACCCCATCGTAGGGATTCGAACCGCCAACCTTCTGATCAGCAAGCCCTAGGCTCAGACTTTGTTGTTGTTTAGTCATTTAGTCGTGTCCGACTCTTCGTGACCCCGTGGACCAGAGCACGCCAGGCACTCCTGTCTTCCACTGCCTCCCGCAGTTTGGTCAGACTCATGTTTGTAGCTTCGAGAACACTGTCCAACCATTTTGTCCTCTGTTGTTCCCTTCTCCTTGTGCCCTCCATCTTTCCCAACATCAGGGTCTTTTCCAGGGAGTCTTCTCTTCTCAGGAGGTGGCCAAAGTATTGGAGCCTCAGCTTCAGGATCTGTCCTTCCAGTGAGCACTCAGGGCTGATTTCCTTAAGAATGAATAGGTTTGATCTTCTTGCAGTCCATGGGCATAAATCATGCTGACCTTCTGAATAAACATGCATGGGATTGAGTAGATAGCTGGCCAAGCCATTGAAACCATTGTATTAAAGTGTATAGTGGCATTGATAGCTTTTAGGGCAACTTCGCAAGGATCCATATCTATTTTGGGTTGCAATGGCAGCAGGTCCATTGGGGGCCTCAGTCTATTTTTAGCCAGCCAGCCTAGGTCCTTACTTAGAACCAGATCAGGGGGCAGCAGTGCCTGGCAGCTTTCTCCTCCACCTTTGTCTCATTGTTTCCCTTTGTAGAAAGCAGCAGGGAGAAGGAGGATGGGGACAAAATGAGAAAGAGTTGGCTCTGCCTCTTATTTGTTCTGGCTACACCTGTGGTTTGGGCTCCATGTCTTCCACCCCACTAGCCCCAATGTCTACCAGATGCCACTATTAGCTTTCTACCTTTGTGTGACTAGCCCTGCCGCTATGCCCTGGGCAGCAGAAATTGAAGCAGGCATAATTTTCCAGGAATAGGGTGTATGATAGGACATAATCCACTTTTTGAAGTACAGGTATCAGGCTGCAATTAAAAGCACGGGGACAAGACCAGAAAATCTACAAACTTCCTTTCTGTCTTGTCCCGTCTCCCCCAAGATTCTTGTATGTCCTTCAACAGTGGCCAGTGCCTGCTACTGCTACTTCATTTTAACTTTCATTTGGGAATATTCTCTTTCTTCCTTTTCTAATGGTTGTTTAGTCATTCCAAACTCTCAATTGCCCAAGCGCCTGGTAATAGTGCACAGCTGCAGAGGCAGATATATCCAGGAAGAGGATATTGTAAGTAGTATGATTATAGCCCTCCTAAATCTTATACTTTAGTTATTATCAAAATCCAATAATTGTCATGCAGACAACACAAAGGTATGATTCAACACACACACACCTCCTGTTTAGCAGATTTAATATATCCGCCCCAATCCTAGGTGATAATCTAAAGTGGTTATAGGGATAAGGCATTTGAGTTGTAATGGAAATGCCAGTTTGCCATTATCATGGTTTTGACTTCGGAGTGCACATGAAGAATTACGACTTGGTTTTATGCTGGGGGTGACTAACCCCTAGTTTAGGGAGCTGATTTGTCCACCTACCCCAAATTTTCTGCCACCACCAAGACCATGCCAATTTTGGTGGTGGGAGGGGAGGGAAGCATCTTCTCCCCAGCCATCAGATTGATCATTTGATGAGTGAATAACCCCTCTTAGATCTATCTGAATTAGCTAAAGAGGCAGACATTTTCATGTGTGCATGCAGAAATGCAAAGTGGTCACAACCACCGCCGACATGTACCTCCAGGGGTTGGCCAAGAGGAGATGCATCCCTTGTTAGCCCTCCCTGCTTTATAAAGTGCCCGTCAGTGTTCATTATGCAATTACCCAGATAATTCAGGGCCCTCTGCCACACCACCATGTGCCTATCTACACGTGTTATGTACTGAGTTGAATAGGATCCAAAATGCAGCAGTCTGATTGGTCCTAGAACAATAGGATCCAAAATGCAGCAGTCTGATTGGTCCTAGAACAATGCAGCAGTATGATTGGTGCGCAGGAGCCACCCAATCCAGCTCCAGGTGGAAGTGAATCCACAACCTGATTGGCCTACAGGAGAATCCCAGAATTAGCCAATCACGTGCAGCCCATTGTGTAAATAATGTATATAAAGCAGATAATTTGAGGGGGAACTTCCATTCCTCCTCACCGCTATGAGCTGAATAATGAGCATGAAATCCACTCTCGAATAAGAAAAGCCACAACATACCCTGCCCCTAGCAGCCCTCTTAGCTCTTTTTGGGGTCTTCTCATCAGAGGAGAAACTCCACGAGCCCCATGCCATTGTTCCAGATGGAGTCAATGCTCTGGCTGCTGTGCAAAGGATCAGGAGCTTCTGCCCTGACTGGGAACAGATTGAGCAGGAACATTATAGTAGCTGTGACTGGCATCCATAATGGGAAGACGCAAAGCTTATTTGACAGGCTCCTCTGCTTTTTGTAAAGCCTCCCAGCTGGATCCTCTTTTGCAAAGGTTCTCAAAGCAAAGGATGCAGCGGCAAACAGAGCTAGATGATGAGGATGTCTGTGTATTGTCCAGATGAGCTTCTGTTGTCCCCGTATGGCAGAGAATATTAAAGCAAGCAGTCACACCTGAAAAGCTTTTTAAGGAGGCTGCACTACCAGAACTTGGATGGTAGTGCCCTGTTAAGATGTTTGCGAATGCCCCTGGAATAGAGAGTGAAGTACGCTGAGATAGTGATTGTTAAAATGTACTATTTTTAGGCTCCTGTTCAGATGGAACCTTGAATGGTTGGAAGCCAGTCGAGCTGGCTGGATGCTGATGGCTCCTTCACACATTAATCTGTACACAGAATGAATGTCTAACAGCTGCATTGGATTTGCACAATACAGTGGTACCTCGGGTTACAGATGCTTCAGGTTACAGACTCCGCTAACCCAGAAATATTTCCTCGGGTTAAGAACTTTGCTTCAGGATGAGAACACAAATCATGCAGCGGCAGCACGGCGGCAGCAGGAGGCCCCATTAGCTAAAGTGGTACCTCAGGTTAAGAACAGTTTCAGGTTAAGAACGGACCTCCATAATGAATTAAGTTCTTAACCCGAGGTACCACTGTAGTTCCTCATTTGGTCTATGCCAGTTGCCTGTCCACCAGGTGGTTTAAGGGGGAGAAGTATAACCAGTCTTGAGGATGCTGAATTGGTGCATCTGATACATGATAAATTATTTCCCCAGAAGTTCCTTTACAGGTCTTCTCTCTAAATTCTGCCCTTTTTAGCTTTGGCCATATTCAGCCGTCAGCACTGCAGTGGAATAACAACATCTGGCCACAGGGAGTCAGAGTTGCTTCACACAGATGGAAATTAAACTCTTGGCAACAAATGTTTCATTCATATGCATTAGCCTTTCCAGAAAATCAGGATTTTGTGTTAAATTACCAAGGGCTTGTGCAAAGAATGGAAGAAGCATTTTAAAAGATACCTGCTTTCCCCCTCTGCCTTTTTGTGAAGGGCCCCATGGGGGTTCCTGATTAACATCTACAATTCCCCCCCCCCAATAGTCTTCTGTGCAAACTTTTCCATTAGTCATCAGCCAGAGAGGGTGAATAAATGAGTTCATTGGAAGAAAGGGCACAGGCACTGAATAAATCTACTCCAAGTCACATTTATCATACACAACTAATACCTTTTAGGGAAATGGTCTAGGTAAACGTTAATCTCAATAAAGGATAGAACCTGGATCCAATGGTAGGGTATGGGGGGGGATGTTCCACAATCATCAGTGATTGACTATATCACAAGCATGACTTGTGGTGTACTTAGCTGACAGGTTACAACCAGGGATGGATGAATCTCCATTTCTCCCTCTCTCTCTCTCTCTCTCTCTCTCACACACACACACACACCATTTTTTGACTCTTAAGTTAGTCTGCCGCATTTTCACATCACTTCAGTTTTTTTCTTTTAAAAAGTCTGCACAAAAATGCCTTTTCATATGTCTTGTTCTTCATTTGCATTTTTTTCTATCCAGTTTGAATTTCTGCAAGCAATTTCCAATAATAATAATAATAATGTAGTTTTGTACATTATTTTCATGAATATATGCCATTTTGTATGTTATTCTCTCTCTCTCTCTCTCTCTCTCTCTCTCTCTCTCTCTCTCTCACACACACACACACACACACACACACACAGTGCACACTTCTTGACTGGAGAACTGCATCACAGCACTTGGAGAAGTGTGAATTTCAAAGCATAGCTGTGCTTTGGTTCACAAAGTGCAAATTAGGATTGTTAGAACTTCTGAATATGACTAATTCACCCTGAACCAAAATGCTTTAAAACCCAGTGGTCTTGATCCAGAGATGCTTGAGTACCTACTGCTGTTTTCCCAAGAGTTGCTCCTCTCCCCCAAGAGAGGCTGCCTGAGGACAGCTGCACCCT